GGGCACGCAAGGACAATCGCGCGGCGGTGGCCGGTGTCGAAATCGGCCCGACGAAACAAAAGGATCGTAGAGACGTCGGCGTCGTGGTAGCCGTGTGTACAGGCCGCGGAGCCACGGTGAAAGCTGCCTCGAGCTGCAGCATATAATTCGAGGGCATGTCGATAAATCAGCCGACGCGAGCGACAGAGACGGAGCGAGGTGGCCGACGGGGGTAGAGAAAAGGAGAGAGACCGCTGCGGACCGTCTCTCCACGGGGAGAAACAGAGAGACGCCGTGCGTTGCGACACACGCTCGTCTATTCGTGGGCGGCTCGTTTCTCCGTACAGCGTCGCTCGCGCATATATCGCTCTCGGATCGAACGGCGTCGATAGCTGCTCTCCACGCTATCGAGACGAACCTCGCCGATGCAGCGGGTCCCCTTGTTCCCTGGTTACAGCCGTTCCGTTTAGTTTTCCGTATGCGGCTCGCCGAGAGATCTTTTTATCGACCGAACGAGACTGAAAAGCGTCTTGTCTGATCGTCGATGGTTTCAAGGGATTTTCTAGTGAACATCGAACGATACGCGTAATTGGACGGAATATGGTAGGATAATTGTCGTGGTTCGATCTCGGATCGAAAGGAAAGGAAGTCTGGCTCGCGCAATCGCGTGAATTAATTTTGTAACGGAATAGTCTTCCAGGGCAAACGTAGGAAAGTAACAGTAAGTGGATCGAGATGGCACGATGGAAGCGACTGTGTGTCGACAGAGCAACCTACTTAGCTACCATTTAGTACTCTTCTTGTTTGTAACTCGCCTCCTTTTCTTGCCAGCGCATCTCCGGCATTTTTCCGCGCTTCCAACAGGTTCGCTGGTACCGAGCAACTATGTAATTGACAAAAAGCGACTAAAAATAATGATACATGGACCGCGAATAGGCGGACACGATGGAAACAGCTGTAACTCGCAGATGGGGCGACCTACATGCATATTTAAGTCCGCGATCCAGGCGAGCGATAGCGGAAACCGCGGGCTCGAGCTCGCCGCCCGATAAATCCGCGCTATTTTAATCGATCGACCTCCAAAATACACGTGCCCGCGAGCGCGAGGCTTGCCGGTTAATTCCTCGCCCAGCGTGTAGCAATAAAACATTACGATTAGATGCCGTGTTTCCGAGTTTGCGACACCGTTCGCCGGACCGTGGGCGTGCGCCGCGCTATATATCGCCATCGGACCAGATAAGTATCCGCGCCGGCTATCGGCGAATGCCACGATCCACGCAGCCCACCCCCCGAATCTTTAATCGTATTTCAAGAAACGATTCATATCTGGCTACGAACGAAATCTCGGGCTTCTATCGGACTGTCTCCAACGGCGACTGTCCCAACGCGGTCGAAGTTTCTCTAAGCGCGATTAATTCCTTGGGGATAACGATTCCAGCTGTCGACGATGAAACAACTGATGGAGCTCGAATCCGTATTATTCGACAGTTAGAATAAATTCATCTGTATACACTGCGTTTTATTTCTAAAATTCTGGAACAGCTTATTTCGCTGCATTCCTTTCT